GCTTTCCCTGCCAGCATCTTGCACCCTGCTGTTATGTGCTGGACTGTCTCAGGGGCCTCCTTGCACATCCTACACCTTGGGTCTTGTGTGGTGTGGTAGACATGTCTGCGATCGATATAATGTGATATATACCCATCTAATGCAATGACTGTGTTAGATGGGCATTTGATATCCATTTCCATTGAGCATATGATGACGATATAGATCAAAATTTTCATTTTGCCTCGATATAACTGAATCATGAACCATTCAAATCGATATATCGATATAGGTTGATGTATCGTTACACCCCTACCAAATGCTGTATGAGTGTGTGGATGGAGGGATGGATGAGGACACAGATTGGGTAGTTAAGTGCTTTGAGTGGCATGCTTGGTTAGAAATGGGTAAAATACAGTCCATGGTTCATATAATAATCTGAATACAAACATTAAAGTCATGAAATTATTTCATTAAGTTTATTGGCACCTTTAGTTAGTATTTTTACTAAGTTACTCTCTTCATGTAGAAATGCATCTCTGCTACAGCACAATTACAGGCAAATTTCCAAATATGCAAATCAGGTGATGATGTCAATAACGACTTTCCTTACTGAGGGGTCAGTGGCTCAAAATCTCACTCCAAGCTCAGATCAAAACTGGAGAGTTCTGTCCCACTCAACAAACAGGGAGTGTTTCTCTTGTTCTCCACTGCCTACAACTGTGTGCAGCGGGAGCATTTCCTCCCCTCACGGGGCTGCAGCAGGTGTGCTGAGAAGGTGTGACTGAGTTAATTTTTTTAGTCTTTCTGTAATTAATTATTAACGAGTCAAAGTCCCAGTCTTATGAGCTGAAATGTTGGTGCGTGGGCGGTACCGCTCTTCTTGCAGCCATTTTGTGAAATGTTTAATCAGGGTGTAAAAGTCTTCAGTTTACTTTTGTTTTCAGTCACAAGGCAGTTTGGTGGTGCGTTAGAACACAGTGAGTATATTTGATAATAGATAATAATAAAATATGATTAAAGTTATTATGTTGTTAATCTGGTATTATATGTCGTCAATATTTCACCTTCAGTAGAGAAATTACTGATTAAACTGAGCCCAGATAAAAACCAGAGTAAAGAAGCTAAAATGATCTTAGATGTTTTAGAGTTCTTAGACTGCTGCAACATCTGTGAGAACATTTTAAGTTTATTTATTTCTAATGATCAAAGATGTTTAAAAGCTTTTGAACATGATTGAAACATTTGTTCAGGAAGTCCAAAGTTCAGCTTCAGATAGGCTAACTCAGATTTTTAATTATTTATTATTATTTTTTCCATCTTACAGTCTAATGAAGTTTTATAAAGTAAGAAGTTTACAGCATTTACTGTAGTGGAACCAGTGGGTTCAGATATGAGAGAAACAGAAACAAAGAGGCAGAAAATAGAACATCAGGCTGACAGAACATCTGTTTGAACTGCAGCCTTTCTGTTCAGGATGATCCATGATGAATTTTGAACATTCGGGTTTGTAGCTCAGATGTTTTGTTAATAATATCTGCTCCTGGACGTGAGTATCAGTTAACTTATTATTGTGACCTTTGAAGCGTTCTTACCACTGCAGATTCACACTGATACTGTGTTCAAGGACGGTGAAAAGCTGAGACATTACCAATTTCAAAAGTCTGCATGTACATCGACTTAAATTCTGAATGTGACTGCTGGAGCAGGTAATGCCAGTTTCATTAACATCTAATAATGTCCAGCTTTTGGTAAAATTTTATTCCTCAAAATTTCCCCACAGGGCAGTTTTTTTTTCAATGAAAAGTTAATGCAGCTAGCTAGTCCATCATAGCTTAACGTTAGCTTTAACTTAAATTCAGTGACATGTAATCTATTACTGAGTTGTTTTTAATCTGTTAAACTGTACTTAATGCCAAGAATAAGGTCAGAGTCCACTCTGGCAGCAGGGACAAAGTTCTGTGAGGTGAGTGATAAAGGCAGGTGTGACTGAAATATAAAATGAATATTTATTCTAAAGGGATCCCTGATGAGTTGTAACATTAGACATTGTTTAATAAACATATGTTTTAACTGTAAAATATAGACTGTAAAAATACTGTAGGATATTTAGTTTTTATCATTTTTAAAACAAAAGTTAAAAATATACTTTAACACGAACGGGGCCATTTTATTTCCACACAAAGCATTCTGGGTAAATGATGACGTGGATAGGTCCTCGGTGCGAGGCTGCTAGCGAGCTATATCCACCCTGAAGGTTAATCTTGGACAATATCTGATGATCGACTCTTTTAAATGAAACCAGAGAGCGTTGACAGAGAGGAGAAGGTAGAAATGACTCAGCCTGGAACTGAAAATATGGATGGAGGACAACAGGTTAGCTTGTTTGTCACTGCTGTGTTCCGCAACCCACCACCTCTCATGTCAGCGAATCGTGTGTCCGGTCAATTACGTCATGCACTGAAACGGTCAAATTATCGTATAATGTGGATTTTTTTTTGGAATTATTGATCGAACAGAGGGCAAAATTATCTGACAAATATGATAATTATCATACGTCTGACAACACTGGCTCTGATGGTGGGGGAGGATGCCGGTCAGACCTGGCAGACCCAAACGTATAGTGAGGGTCTGCTGGGAACATCTGTCAGTCTCCCGTCAGACAGAGCTTCAACTCACACCTCCTGGAGAACTTTGAACATGTTCCGGGGGAGGTGGGGGACATTGAGTCTGAGTGGGCCATGTTCCGTGCCTTCATTGTCGAGGCAACTTACCTGAGCTGTGACCGTAAGGTTGTCGGTGCCTGTCGTGGAGGCAACCCTCGAACTCGCTGATGGACACCGGCGAGTTCGAGGGTCCTATTGGCTTCATCAGATCCTGATCTCCAGCTCTCACTGGAGCGGTTCACAGCTGAGTGTGAAGCAGCCGGTATGAGGATCAGTGCCTCCAAATCCCAGACCATAGTCTTGATCCAGAAAAGGGTAGGGTGCCTTCTCCGGGTCGGGGAGGAGGTCCTGCCCCAAGTAGAGGAGTTTAAGTATCTCAGGGTCTTGTTCATGAATGAGGGAAGAATGGAGCAGGAGATCAACAGGTGGATTGGTGCTGTGTCTGCAGTGATGCGGAAGTTGTACCGGTCTGTTGTGGTGAAGGTTTACCAGTCTGTCTACATTCCTACCCTCATCTATGGTCAGGAGCTTTGGGTAGTGACTGAAAGAAGGAGATCACAGATCCAAGCAGCTGAAATGAGTTTCCTCTGCAGGGTGTCTGGGCTCTCCCTTAGAGATAGGCTGAGAAGCTCAGTCATCCAGGAGGGACTCAGAGTAGAGCTGCTGCTCCTCCATGTCCAGAGGAGCCAGTTGAGGTGGTTCATCTGGTTAGGATGCCTCCTGGACTCCTCCCTGGTGAGGTGTTCTGGACACGTCCCACTGGGAGGAGACCCAGAGGAAGACCCAGGACAMGCTGGAGGGACTATGTTTCTCAGCTGGCCTGGGAACACCTTGGGATTCCCCCAGAGGAGCTGGTCCAAGTGGTTGGAGAGAGGGAGGTCTGGGTCTCTGCTTAGACAGCTGCCCCCGACACCTGACCCTGGATAAGAGGAGGCAGATGGATGGATGAACAGTTATTGTTGATTTGTAGTATGTTAATATACTGTGTTTACTCATTAGAGTAAGTTGGGTTATATTTTTATGTTCAGATTTTGTCAGCATTTTCCACACTGCTCACTGTGGTTAACCTGTTAGAGCTGAACTGGGTTGTTTTTTAATCTCTATATTAAAACTTTTCTGTTGTTTCTCTATAAGGTTGATTAAACCAGACTTTAGTCTTTTGCTGACTTCAGTACATGTGACAGAGAGGAACCATGGCTGCTGCAGCATCTGGTGAGTTTTGTTACACTTTAGAATTGTCTCTATAAAATAAAATTTGACTTTTGTGTGTTTTTATAAAATATGATCACTCTCATATGTCAGTTTTTGTTCAAACGTTGGGAAACTGTATTGAACTGGAACTGTTTTTAGTTTTGTTTTCAGTGTTGGGCACTAGTCCCTTAAAGTGCTACCGCTCTAATTGTGGTTCTCGTTTTCACTTTAGGGCTTTTGCAAAATAAATTTTTTAAATTGTGTTCTGATTTGCACTTTCTAAACTTAAAAATTCAGTAGTGCTAATTTAATTATTTCATCAACATGATCGTCACTATCTTTAACAGTGGAGGGACAAAGCCATCAAGTCAATACAATGCTTCTGCATTGTATGTAAACAGTGTCCCCTCAGAGATCTGTTCTTAGAAGCTGTAACCACAGTATTCCTGAATTCACTGACTCACACTGGTCTGAACAAGCTACCATTGGGGGCCAGTCTTAGACCAGATAGAGCTCTGGATCAGGGTGTATATCTGTGGGCTTTTCGTCGATTAAATAAAAAATGGGAAAAAATACTCTTTGGTGAGTTTATGCTAGGTTTAGGTATGTACTAGAGTGGTTAACTTTAGAGTAAGGGGTCAGGGTTAGGCTGTAGAAATGACCAGTAAATGAATGGACATCAATGGAAAGTGCCCACAAAGATAGAGAAATACAGTGTGTGTGTGTGTGTGTGTGTGTGTGTGTGTGTGTGTGGATGGGTATTTTGTGAGATATGAGGGTCATTTTAAGACAAAACACTTACATATGGGGACCTAAACAGAGTCCTCATTTTGTTAAAGCCATTGGTGGGTTGGGGGTTGGGTTTAGGACCAAGCTTTGAATTGAGTTTAGGTTAGGTTTAGGGTCAGGTAMGTACCTGTGAGGTTAATTTTAGGGTAGGGGGTCAGGGTTAGGCTGTAGAAATTTAATGGAAGTCAATGTAATGTCCCCATATGTATAGGTAGACACATCTGTGTGTGTTAGTGTGCTCAATGCTGTAAAATAAAAMAATTTCAAACCTAAGATTTATTTAATGTGTGTTTGTTTTATAGATGTACAACCTCTGAAGCGGAGAAGAAGTTATGAACTGATACCACCTGACAGTAAGTTTAACAGGACTGAGTTTGGACTCATTTTGTGTTAGTCTGATAAAAACCAGCCCATTGTACAGAGCCCGCCGGGGGTCAGTGTGAGAAAAAAAAAACAGCTGCTGGAAATCCGTGCGCACGGATTACTAAACTGTGCTCACAGTTTCTGTAATTCGTGTGCACAGATTACTGACATCTGGAGGGTGGTTGTGTGAACTGTCGTTCATCAGCTCAGAAAGTGCTTAAGGAGTGTTTTTTGTTCACTAAAGTCTAAGTTCTGCACAGAAAACGTTGTAATTTGAGTATGTTGTACAGTTTTTGCCCCTCTGTCAAGCAGTTTTGGTACCGGGTCTCCTAAAGGCTGTTTCAGCTCTGATCAGATCATCACAGGAAGCTGTGGTGACAGGATGTTTACAGTTTCCCTGACAACGGGGAAGTTTTGCTAAAGTTATCCAGCTGCCTTCTCAGGGTTATATCACAAAAGTACTGAATAGATTTATGTTGAACTTTTAGGAAACGTTTATTACTCTTTCAAAAATGTTTATTACACCACAGAAATATCTGAATAAAGTTTGAAACATTTCAGAATAAGAGTGGGGCCGCAACTCCTATCTGATTGTCATTCTGCAGATGAAGCTCAACACACGGGGACATTTCTCTGCAGCAAGCCACTCGAAGGTTTTCTCCAGTGGTTCTCAGATGTTTATTCTCTTTCACAACAGGGGGGCTAACCTCCATAACACCCGAATGGAACCATTTGACTGGAAAATATGAAAATAAATAAAATAATAACCACGTTGGATTTTGATGAAACTTTCAGGGACATTCTGTGATTAAAAAGTGTGTTGATGAAAACACAGCAGTGCCTTAAGTTTATAATAACAACAGATCCACTGAATTTACCTTGCAGATGCGGCTTCATACTGTTGTGTTCTGAGGCAAGGATTTGAGCGACAACTAACCCCGAAACAACAAGTTGTCCCCGCACTCACAGTATTCACTTCCTGTTTAGCCTTTCACCATAAAACCGGATACAACAAAACAGACGGTACCACACATACCATGCACCCAACCTGTTGATGCAATCTGCGCGCACTGATTGCAGAAACTGAGCGCACAGTTCAGTATCCGTGCTTACGGTTTAGTTATCTGTGCGCACGGATTTCCAGCGGCTGTTTTTTTTTCTCACACTGACCCCTCATGGGCTCCGTACCATTGTTTTTTGCTTCACTTTGCTTTGTACAGAGGGTCTGGAACATTGGCTATTAAGAAATGATTTCTTTCTGGAGGCGTTGCCTCTGTTGTTTAAAATGATTTGATCTGACTTTTCCCAGTCCCTAATGTTTGGCCAAGACATATGTAGAGCACCAGCTCAACTGTGAAGGAAGCTAAGTTAAAAGGCTAATGGGAAATGGGCTGTGTCCAAAACAACAGGACGGGTCCTCNTAATAATGCTAATGTATTGATATTTTTCAAATTTTTATTTAAGTTTGCTTGTTTAGCATCGTCACAGTTGCTAGGTGACAAGACGTACGCCGGGGTGGAGGGGAGGCTAGACCGTCCAAATTCACAGCCTCTTTTTTTCCGGTCTTCCCTGTCTACCAAGGACCCGGCCCACCTCGACAGGGTAGTCTGGGTCCTTCGGAGAACCCGGCCTGTCGTTTTGGACACAGCCATTGTGTGCACTGTGAACAACCATCCCCTACTGGGAAGAGAGATGTACAGAGCCAAATGAGATGGCTGTAAATGAGTGCTGAAGGCTTTGAGAGACAAATTTAATTTAATTTAGAAACCTTGTCAACACGGCCTGAATGATTTCATTCCTATGCTAAACTACAGACAGACTAAAATGGTGCAGAAAATCTACGTCGTCTTTCATAACTCCTCCTTCTGTTTGCTGATTGGTGTTGTTGAAATTCTACCAGAGAATTCCTTGTCTATGGGAGAAACTCCAGATGGAGCAGAGAAGAGAAATTAGAATCTAAAGGAACTGTGTAGGAAGGAAAGGGCCAGCCTAATTTTGTGCTGAACTGGCCCAATTTTTTGTTTGATTTCAAGTAAAACCTTTGTGACTCAAAACTAATCTAAAATAACTGGTCTGATTGTTGGGAAAGAGAGGACACAGTATGCTTGCAGCTAACCCAGACACGTTCACTCACCCCCATCTTTACAAGATTTTATTCTAAAGATGATTGTCACTCTCTCTAACTCTGTCCTTTCAGAGCTACAAAAAATGTAAATACTGAGTCAATGCAGATGTGTGCTAATGGTGTATTCTTTATTAGTATAATTATATTTATTACACTACACTCGCATATATATATATATCAGTAATATAAACTTTTTCACACTACTCTCAGTATATTAATATAATATATGATATATCAATAGCATACAAAAGTAACTTTAGATAAAAACTAATTCAGTCCCTTTTCTCTGAGTGTAACCAACAGCATGTAGAAGTTACCTGATGACTGTTAATGACTAGTCACATGGCTAATGTTAGTACTGAATTTTAACATTTAAATGGTTGTAAATAACATGGACATGAAACTGAAAAACAGAAAATATTTAGAACAAGACAAACAGATTTATACAAATAATGACTGAACAGGTTATTAGTTGTAATTAAAACAAGAGAAGAAAAACTGTTTTTGTTGATAAATTACAGGCTTGGTTTCATGAAAATACAAATTTATTTTTGAAAATGTAAATTTATTTTAGATTTTCTGGTATTTTGTGCTGCTCTTGGTGCACTGATTTTGTTTTAATTGAAATAGAAAAATATAATATGTCAGCAGCAGAACTTTCACAGGAGCTTTTTATAAATCAATAGTTCTTCAGATATTAAATCTGCCTGCTAAAAATACTGTCAGTTGGCCTTTTTTATTTTATTTCCAGTGTTAGAGCTGAGGGTTGTTCTGCTGGGTTAGGGTTAGAACAGTTGTATATTTTCTCTGTCATTTAACCTTTTTATGTTTGTTTTTCAGTGTCAGAGCTGAGGATTGTTCTGCTGGGGGGCAGCTGGTATCAGAGAAARTCAGCTGGGAATTTTCTCCTTGGAGAAAATGTTTTCAGTGGAGCTCCATCCTCCTGTGTGATATTCAGTGGATCATTTGAAGAAACCAAATTAACTGTCATCAACACTCCATATCTAAAGTTCCCAACAGCAAACAAACAGACAGAGTTTATAAAAGACTGTATGAAAGCTTCTGCTCCTGGACCTCATGTGTTCCTGTTGGTTCTCCAACCTGAAAGGTTCACTGAAGCAGATAAAAACAGGATCTGCTCAGTCCTTGAAGAGTTCAGTGACCAGTCATTTGATCATTCACTGATTCTAGGTTTATCACGCAGACGAGGAGGTCCAGATGTAAATGAAAAATACATGAAAACTCCTMCATTTGCAGAATTAATCYGAAAGTGCAGATATAGACACTTAAAGATGCAGGACATTGAACATCCAGAGCTAATAATGAGATGTGGCCAAATTGTAAAAGAAAATAAAGGACAACATGTGATCTATGAAGAGTTTGCAAACACATCATCYACCTTACCAGAAGATCAACAGGGCCAGAAACAAAAGAACAAAACTGGCTCTTTTATTTCTACTGTCACAGGTGCTGGTAAGTACTAAAACAATTATCAAAATAAAAGCTTGGTCACAAAAAAATCCAGATTTTATTTAGGGGAAATTTAAAATTAGGGATTAATGTTCTTTTACAGGTATCAGTGCAATCAAGCATTACATTCCTGAGGGAGCGTTGTACATTTGTTCATAAAGCTTCCGGCCTGTGGCAATATACATACATGCGCCGCGGACGGCTGCCGTGGCCGGTGGGCCCGGCCCGTGCTTCACAAAGGGCAGCTGTACGTAGGTAGTGCAAAATTTCCAGGCTGTGTACTGCCCACCGTGTACACCCACAGGTGGCGCCGGAGACCACGTTTCCGACTCAAGGCGAATTTCATGGCTCAAGGCGAATTTCATGGCTCTGTCGAGTTTCTGATACTCTGATGGGGTCTCCTTGTACATATGGCTGGAGTTAATTTTCATGGCTGAGAACTCGGCCCCCCACAAACTTTTTTTTAAACTTTGACCTCCCGTACCCCCAAAAGTCCCCAAAGACCACCCCCGGGCTCTGGAGCGCCCCCTATAGGTCAAAAATGGTACTACAGGATTTTTTTTCAAATCTTCATTTCTGGTCCCCGTTTGAGTGGGTGGTGTCTCTCTTTGGTCAGAAGACCCCCGTGACCTTTCCGTGACCTTTGCAGTTTTTTGTTCACCACATCACGTAGGAAGGTTGCACAGGCCTAGGTGAAGTATCGTTGCGCTCGTGGTGACCCCCCGGACAACAAATGTCAAGGTCAAAGGTCAAGGTCGTCTGGAATTTTTTTGACCTCTCCGATCCTCTCCAAATTTTACACACTTGTTCGGGTCGGCGTCCTGACCGTTTCTCCCAATTTTGGGGTCTCTAGGTCGAAAGAGGGCCAAACAGGCACCAAAGACCCCCTCGTGACCTTGGCGTCATCTTTGTCACCATTTCGCGTAGGAAGGTCGTACGGACGTGGCAGAGGTGTCGTTGCGCTCGGGGTGACCCCCCGGACGACATAAGTCAAGGTCAAAGGTCGAGGTCATCGGTAAATTTTTTGACCTCCGATCCTCACCAAATTTTACACACTTGTTCAGGATGGCGGCCTGACCGTCCCCCCCAAGTTTGGGGTCTCTAGGTCAAAAGATGGCCAAACGGGCACCAAAGACCCCCTCGTGACCTTTGCGTGACCTTCGCCGCCATTTCACGTAGGAAGGTTGTACGGATGTGGCAGAGGTGTCGTTGTGCTCGGGGTGACCCCCCGGACGACATACCTCAAGGTCAAAGGTCAAGGTCATCTGTAAATTTTTTGACCTCTCCGATCCTCACCAAATTTTACACACTTGTTTGCGTCAGTGTCCTGACCGTCCCCCCCCCCAATTTTGGGGTCTCTAGGTCAAAAGATGTCCAAACGGGCACCAAAGACCCCCTCGTGACCTTTGCGTGACCTTTGCCGACATTTCGCGTAGGAAGGCCATACGGACGTGACAGAGGTGTCGTTGCGCTCGGGGTGACCCCCCGGACGACATACGTCAAAGGTCAAAGGTCAAGGTCAAGGTAAATTTTTTGACCACTCCAATGCACACGAAACTTTACACACTTGTTTGGACCTGAGTTGTGGCCGTCTCACCCCATTTTGGGGTCTGTAAGTGGTCAGGGGTCCGAGAGACACTAAATTGCCCATATGACACACATGGTCTTTTGAAGGTCACGGGGATACTCTCCAGGCACTCATCGGGTAAGGGAAGAGTTCCCGAGCATAAAACAGAGGTCTTCGCGTTCGGCCGGTCTTTGCGATCGCAACGAGCCCACCCGCACCTTTCTAGGCCTCTCCTGGGGTCCGCAAGTCCCCTGGAGGCCTCGCTCAGGCTTCGTTTGCGGCCTTCTGTGTTGGCCATAAAACAGAAGGAAATGTTCACCGGCTGTACTTTGAATGCGTTTCCCGAGTGAACGGAGGATCCTCATGTTTCGGAGTGCGTTTGGGCTCAGTGATTCACGTAGGAACGTTGGATCTGGGCAAACTTGGTGCCGTTGGAAAGGTCTTTTTAAGGCGAAAAGAATGAGCCCAGGCTTGCCTAGATAGCACCTTTCTAGGGGCCACAATTAACCCGCCAAATTGTAGCTGTAGGACTTACATAGACTTACATTGAGTTTAGGTCTGTGTTCAATGGGCCGCCACGGGTCACAGGAATGGTCCAGCCCCACCAGGTTATATAGTCGGGTATAAACAATTGTGCTGAATAAATTTTGAAAATCTGGTGGTCCTAGCTCAAAGCTAAGGTACCTAAATTAACTTGCAAGCAAGTGAAGGCCGGAGGACAATTCCCGCCATTTTTTTTGCACCTTTGACAGCCCATATCTCCCTGTAGGAAGCACTAAATTGTACCAAGTTTTCAGGAGAAGTAGGTGAGAACCGGCCGCAGCTACCTTAAAATTTTGGCCAGCCTAGGTGCACGTTAAGATCCCCAAACGCTCCCGCAAAAGTCGGGCGTGGGTATTTTAAGTCAAAAAGGGGGACGCAGAAAAAAATTCATAACTCGAGAACCCAAAGGTCTAGAGACCCCAAATTTTAATCACCTATACTTGAAGTACGCCGAAAAATAGTTTAGAAAAATTGTGCACGTACGTGCACGGAAAAGTGTCCAAATTAACAAAATATATTCAGAAAATGGAGTTTTTTTGGGCCGAAACAGTTTAAGTTCCTAACTTGGAGCCGAAAGTGGCTTGGGACCCCAGATTTGAGGGGTCAACATAGGGGG